GTGTGTGTGTGTGTGTGTGTGTGTGTGTGTGTGTGTGTGTAAATAGGTGCCAGAGGCATCAAGTACTTCTGGAGCTGGAGTTACAGACAGTTTGTGAGCTGCCTGATAGAGGTGCAGAGGACTGAACTCGAGTTCTCTAGAAGAACAGAATGCAGTGCTTTTAACTGCCGAGTCATCTCCCCAGCCTTGAAATCAATTCTTTAAGGATTTATATGGATATTTTTGCCTGCATGGAGTCTGTATATCAAGTGTGTGTGCCTGGTGCCTGTGGAGGTCAGAGAGAATGCTAGATCCTCTGGACCTGGAGCTGTGAGCTGCCTTGTGGGTACTCTGCATCAAACCTTGGTCCCATGGAAAAGCAGCCAGTGCTCTAACCACTGAGCCATCTCTCTAGCTCTATACATTTATATTACTATTATTGTTGTTGTTATAAGAGACAGGGTCTCTTTACAAAGCCCTAACTGTCCTGGAACTTTCTATGTAGACCAGGCTGCCTCTGCCTTCGGAGTGCTAGGACTAAGGATGAGTACCACTGCAACAGACTTTAAGTGAATTCTTAATGTACGCAAAGCTTTCAATTCTAGCTAAAGAACTCTAAGATAATTCAAGTTTTCCCTTAATCTGAATTGGTGACCCATGACCCTCAGCTTCTGGCTTCCGTGCTTGTCTGGTGTTCTGAGCTTCACGGATGAAGTCACAAAGGCTCTCTACCTGGCAGTTCCCACAGTTCCCCTGGAAGGGAGCGTCTGGCATGGGGCTGTGGGCGGCTCCTGTTTGTCAGGAGGCTGTGCACACACCTTTGATGGAGGATCATTACTTTCCTAGAATATCCTTGTAATTCCCTCCTGGGTCACTTACAAATTATCACTTCCTCCTGCTCATTAGACACGACAGCTTTCAAAGGCCGGTGGATGACAATATAACCCAGGCAGGAAATGGCTCCTACCTGCTCCCCGGTAGGTTAGCCTTTAAAGTAGACACCTGGCATTACTCTAGTCTCTTCTACACTGGTGCTACAGCTTTGCAGCATGAGGTTCAGAAAACCAAGGATGGAAACAGATGGAAATGGTTCTTTATGACTCAAGAAAGGACACAGTGCTCTGGATAACACCAAGAATGGAAACCTACAAAACTGTCCGTGCAGAGATGCTTTTCATGATATGCAGGCCCCTGTGCACACTGGGTGAATAATCCATCACCTGGTTACATCCCACCTCCAAACCTATCAGTGCTTGACTCTGGCGTGCGTTACATGATCTCTTCTGTCAAGCACATATGTCCGTGCAACTTATATTTTATTTGAGGTTAGGATATGTAGTTCATGAGCATATTAACATGTGCATGCTGTAGACAGGTCATCAAATATACATTGAGAGTCAGGATTCAGTGCTTATCTATATAGATTTGTATGGTTCTGAATTGATGTGATCTGTGTGACACAGTTTACTGGAGGGTGTTTATAGGTAACTCAGGTAATAGCTTTTAAAAAATTTATTTATTATGATTAGTTATTATTATTATCATCATCATCATCATTATTATCTTTCAAGACAGGGTTTCTCTGTGTGGCCTTGGCTGTCCTGAAACTTGCTGGGTAGATCAATCTGTCCTTAAGCTCACAGATTCACCAGGCTCTGCCTCCTGAGTGCTGGGATTAAAGGCATGTACCATCACACGCAGCTCTTACTATTCTTTGTAAAGATTTGTTTGTTTTTATTTTATGCGTATGAGTGTTTTCCTGCATGTATATACATGTACCAGGTAGGTGCCTTGTGCCCAAGGAGGCCAGGAGACGGTATCAGAGTCTGTGAAATTAGAACTACAGGTGATAGAGTCAACACTTGGGAACAAAACTTGGGTCGGTCCCCTTGCAAGAGCACTAAGTGCTCTTAGCTACGGAGTCATCTCTCCAATCCCCATTTTGAGATGGGGTCTTATGTAGCCCAGGCTGGCCTGGATCTCCTGATTGTCTTGTTTTCACTTCTTTAGAGCCAGGACTCCAGGGGCAAACCACCAGCCTAGCTCATACTGGATGCTGTCTCTGTACACAGCAGCCTACGATGGTTTCTGCTCCTTCATGAGGGCATGGAATTTTATGTAAAGGACAACAGTGGGTATGTCTGGGGATTTTTTAGATATAATAATATTATCTGCTTCATAGATTTAGACAGGCTTAAAAGATTAAGTAGCTATAAAGTATTATTATGGACGAGTTAGGAGGCAGAACTACAGTGTGAGAGAGAAAAGCATACATCAGGCTAATGAATTTGGAAAGCACACAGTGAGATTGTCTAAAGAAATAAGTTGAGTGTATTTGCTATGGCATCCAGTAATGAGTTCTTCAGAAGCACTTCTGTCCCAGGCACTGTTCTAAGAGCTGGCTGGAGTACACACTAAAACTAACCAAATCTGCACATAATAGAATATTCTCAATGGTAGGCACAGTGTTTTATCTTAACTTTGTGTAAAATATTGCTTTACCTGGTTTGCTTGTTTTTGATTTTCTTTTTTATTTTCAGGGGAATGGTTCAGTAGAGATAAAGCATTTAATTTTTCAAAATTTGATTTTTTACTTATGTAAGTGTGTGGCACAGCAAAGCAACTTATAGGAGTTGATGTTATCTGTTTAGCATGAGGACCCTGGGATCTGAACTCAAGTTATCAGGCTTGACAGCAGGTGCCATTAACTGATCAGCCATCTTAGCAGCTCAATAATTTTATTTTTATGTGGATGTGACTTGTCCTTAAGTGGATGTGATTCATCTTGTTCTTTCCTGTTTTTCCTCTTTCAGGAGACATCAATCATGAACTGTGGTGAGCAATGGGGATATGGAGATGGATTTCAGCCCCTAAATTCTGTTCTCATTGAGTTATAGTTTTAAGGGAGATTATTTTTAAAATTACCATTTATTTATTTATTTATTTATTTATTTATTTATTTATCTATCTCCATGAGAGAGAGAGAGAGAGAGAGAGAGAGAGAGAGAGAGAGAGAGACAGAGAGACAGAGAGACAGAGAGAGAGAGAGACAGAGAGAGTGGGATGAGGGAGAGGGAGAGAGGGAGGGGGAGGGGAGAGGGAAGGAGGGAAGGAGGGAGAAAGTGTGAGCGCCGGTGAATGTGTGCACTGTGCAAATGACTATATATGCCATGGAAATCAGCTGTCTCCTACCATGTGTGTTCCATAGATAGAACTCATGTCTTCAGGCTTGATGGCAGGAGGCTTTAGGCATCATGCTGGCCTCCTCCTAGTGAGGGTCTTATACTAAACATTCCTCCAGAATTCCTCTCTTTCCTTCAGAAAAGCAATAGTGACAATTCACCTAAGACTATGTGATCTTGCATCAGCCTTATTTGAGAAGATCATACATAGAAACTCTACCCTACTTCTGTGAAAAAAAAAGAAGGGAGAAAAAAAAGGAACAAAGAGATTGTCATGAGTCAACCCAGTGTCATGTGGGCTTCATGCCAGATGGCCTCAGCAGGGTGGATTTCCTTTATCCTGGTACAGGGAAGGGTGTCTGAGGTACAGGTGAGTGACTGACTCCTGGGACCACTGCAATCAGGAGAACTCTCCTTCCTTTAGCTTCACAGGAAACATTTATCTCTGTCTTCAGCTAGCTTCAGAAGGACAAACAGTTCTAATCTCAGTGAAAACAACCATAAGACAAACAGTTGGAGTATTCGAGAGTCTGTGTCAACTGCTGGAGACAAGATGGAGTGGCCTCTGTTTGCCCTGCATTGAGTGGCCTTAGCTAAGAGTAGGGTACACAGGTCTTCCTGATAAAGCCTGCTGTGAAACATGAGAGTGGGGAGTTTCCTAAAACAAAAGACTGGGTGCAGTGTTCAGATGCTTTTCAGATGTCCACCTTTCCTGGGTTAGGTTTAAGGAAATTACTGTGGATGGATTTACATGCGTGTCTGCAGGTTTCTCAGATGGTAAATGATCATTGAATACATAATCCTGTAACAGGAAGCTTCCTTATTTTTTTTAAATTTCTTTATTTTTTAAGGCAGGATCTTTGGCACAGGCTAGTCTCAAACTCTCTAGAAAGCTCAGGATATCCTCAGCCTTCCAGCCTCCACCTCCCCTGCAGTGATATTACTAGTTCCACCAACACAGCTGGTTTATGTGGTACTGAGTGGTGTAGAACTTAGTTCTTCCTAGCAAGCACTTTACCAACTGGGATACACCATTGGCCTTAAAATGTATTTTCTTTTAAAATTAGTTTTTAAATTTAGCCTACAAAGTGATGGGCTTTGCTCTGGCTTTTGAGGCCCTACCTTTAGCAGAAACACTGCTGACAGTTGGTGGCTGTTGGGAGCCAGGGAAGAATTTGTCGTTTAGGGTGTGGCCAGTGGTAGATGATGGGCATGCTCCAGTGAATGATCCTGCATCCACATATAGGCAGTGTAACTGGACTCAGTGGAGAAAGAAAGGAAGAAAAGAAAAGGGAAGAAAAGAAAAGAAAAACAAGCAATCGAGAGGAAGACATGGAGCTGGGAGAGAACCTGTTGGAGAGATGTCTGTGGGAATTTGAAGAGCAAAGTGAGGGACAAATATGATCTAGGGATGTTGTATATACACAGGAAATTTTCAGAGTATAAACTACTATTTTCAAAAGTAATAAATAAGCCGGAGTGAGTGGTGCACACCTGTAATTACAGTAGTTAGAAGGCAGAGGAATGCAGGTCTCTATGAGTTCAAGACTAGCCTGGTCTATGTAGTAAGTTCTAGGCCTGGCAGGGCTGTATCATCATAGGATCCTGCCTCAACAAATAAATAAAACAAGAATTAAGCACATGTGTGCATGTATGCACACTGGAACACACATTCATGTGAGCATACACACACACACACACATACACACCCACACCCACACACATACACACACATACACATACACACACACATACACACACACACATACACACACACACATACACACACACACATACACACACACACACAGAGTTCTGAAGGTCAAGTTATTTACATGTTCCTTCTGGCTTGACTCTTTACTGATTTAATGCCCATCAACTCTCTGATGATGGTGTGGTTAGGGTACACACACACACTAAACACGCACACACGTACATATATATACATATTATTGGTTTTACCTTTCTTGCTTTACAAATGTAAACTCAACAATTTGACTAAGTGATTGAGAGACCAAAAAATTAATTTTCAGTCTTCTAGACTGGCTCATAACACAGAGCAAGATCACAAGAACCAATATAACAATAGTCTTGCTTCAAGATACCAGGACGGCTGTGCCAGCCC